CAGATGTTGGATTGCGATGGTGTGGGAATGATCATTTTTGCATCACAAATTTAATTTTCACTGAAAAAACTTGACCTTTTTTATGTTTTCTTAAACCTGGAGAACTAGATTTGTATGTTGGGCCATCTTGGCAGCTCTGTAGTACTTAATTATAATTTTACATTTTACCTTCATCAAAAATGGCAGCTTCTGTGATTTGAATATTGTAATCCACCATTAAAAAATACATTCATTTTTAGGCTGTTAAAATCAAGGGGTGGTATTTGCCACAGACGAGGCTCACCTCCACTACTGCATGAAACCCTGAAATAGCAACGGGGAAAAGCAAATGTGACAAAAGAATAAAACAATTGAACTAATGAGAATTTCTGTTAAGACTACAATTACAAACAAGTAGCCTGGGAATTCCCACTTGAAGTTTAAAGTAGATTTAAGTACACATTTGACATTTAACCCCTCTGTACCTCATTCATCCCTTTTATCACAATGATGTGCCAAATTCCTCTTCAAGGGAAACTGGAAATGATGCTGAAGCATGTGGGCGTCCTGTAGAAAAGAAAAAGAATAAACATCATGTGAATAACTGACACAAGAACAGACAAACAGAATCTGTAGGTGACATAAAAAGAGCTCTGTCATTTGGGGCTGGGGTGTATGCAAAACTAGGAAGGGACTGATGCCAACACCAATAACATGACGGTCTCTCATTGGTCAGATGGATATGATTCCTCCAGCAGACAGAGTCACACCACCTGTCTCAAACTAAATCAATGCCCTACAGATTTACTCAAAAACCAGGTGTATGATCTTATTTCCCAGCTCCTCTGTACACACACACACACAAACACACACTTTACTGCTGCGGTACGCTATCACAAGAGAATTTCTACAACACGACATCCTCACAGCCTCCTCTCGAATCGTACAAGCTTGTTCATGACGTTGACAACCTATCTAAGCCAGACTGTGCTGCAGTGGAGCAACACAAACAGGAGAGCTGGGGGTCCCACTAAGGGAGAGGCATGACTCACAACCCTGTCTGACACCCTGGATTATCATGCCTTTACACTTCAGCGGGCATTTGATGGTAAAAAGACGGAGGAACACAGAGAGGCTGCCCTTGATAAACTATTATAACAGACTAAGAGCAAAGGATTTAGTTGTTTGGTGGAGGTCTGTGAGGGCAGAGAGGACCCACTGTATATTAAAGCTGTCAGAGTGACACAGCGGGATCATAAAATATCAAGTAGACCCAAAGCTCACATATTAACCACTTATTGGGTCTGGAAGTGGAAATTCACTTGGGAAAGTTTCAAAATGTGAGTGACTCTAATGTACCCTCAGAGATGAGTGACTTCCTGCTCTGTCACTGCTGATGTGACATTATCCAGAGCAAAGCCTGAGGCTGAAGGGCTGCTGGGGGGAGGGGGGGAGGTTTAATGCTTTAAATGATGACAGAGGTTTTAAGGGCTGTATTAGATCTTAAGAAAAGACATCCCACAAATATATGACCCCCAAAGGATGGAGGCATAAATCAAAAATACACATACAAATGTAAGTTTCAAGAAAGGAGTGCAAAACTAATAAATAATGACATTAAACTGTTTTAGATGTGGAGGGTGATCATTAAAGGTTAACTCATTAAACTAATACTTAGGTCAGTTTTTACCTCACAGAAATTGGTCAGATCTAAGCAATTTGCACTGAAAAGCAGCTAATGAAGAATAAAACTTTTACTCACCTTGATCTAATCTGTTGATCTAGTTTCTTCAAAAAAAAAAACTATTCCGCAGCTTTTTTTGTTGAAAGCTCCCAAACTTATTCTTTCTCTGTGAGCGGTTCTGACTCCTGCCAGATGACACAAAATGCTTTAACTAAATGACAGTATCCCTCTGATTCATGTGTCCGACCGCCGGTGAGGTCCACCAGAACAACGAATGCTTTCACACAGATTTTGGGGTGGGACAAAGTGGCCGCACACGTAACTCAACCGGAGGGGACGCGGAAGTGTGAGCTGCAGTACCGGCGATGGCCGCTAGGCTCCGGGCTCTAAAACACCTCAGGCTGCCGTAGACACCTATTCAACAGACACCCTCTTCTATGAAGAGTCTCTCTTATTCCTGGAAATACCAAAACAAGTTTTGTACAGTCTACGTGTCAACACAGGACATACTGGTCTAAACTTCCTCACAGTGTGTTATTAACTGTTGGTAGGCTCCATTGATGATAGAGGATCGATGGCTTTGATTGATGTGTCATTGACACACAGTGGAGGAAGTAATCAGATCCTAAAATATACTAAATACTAAAACCACACTGTAAAAATACTATGGTATGTGCAAGTATAATGGAGGAATTTAACCTAACATAAGATGGACTACAGCCGCTCAAGAACAACACAACACAATAGAACATACATATTAAAATAAAGATAAAATAGAAAAATAAGAGTTATATGTACATTATATACACTTTTTAATACACAGATGTGATTGATGGAATACCACTAATCTCATTAGTTGCATATCCATGCATGCATGCACAACGATGGAGATTAGTGTAGAAGTTAGCACAATAAAAATGCTTGTTTTGTCCAACGAGAAGTGCAGAATCATTGGAATTATTACTAAATGATTAAAAATGCAAAAAAACAAATCCACACATTTGTAAAGCTGGAACCAAGAAATGTTTTTATGTTATAAAAAATTAATGAAATTGAAAATAATTGCAACTAACTCTGGACTGATTGAATAATTGACTGATCATTTCAGCCTTACTTGTATATACTTTTACAACAAAACATATGTTATAAGCTCTTTGGGTTTTGAGTGCAAAAATATTAATTTGTAAAGTAACAGGTAACTAAAGCTGTCAGGCAGTTGTAGTGAGATAAAATATTTACCTCTGAAATGTAGTCGAGTAGAAGTAAAAAGTGTCAAAGGGGGTACTTGAGTAAATGTACTTAATTACATTCCACCACTGCTTGCTCACCACCTATTGCCCTTTTCCTTTTTTTCCAAAATGAAAATGGAAACCATACACAGGAATAATCAAAGTGGACAAAACAATCTCACTATAAGGTCCATTTAGTAGCTTTTTCTGGAGTTTTCCATCACATCACAGGATCTTCCTCAGAAGAGGTCATTTACCCAGTTGTCACAGCAACTGCATATGTTCAAATATCAATTTTTTCTGAGCACTTTACAGACTTCTTGTCCTCGCTGAGAGTGAAAGTTAATTTGTGACCTTCTTTTTTATCCCAGCGTGCCCTTCATGGGTGGCTTCACTGCTGAATAAACATGCCTGCAGGGAACAATATTTCACAAATACCGACCCATTTCTCAACTATTCAAGATCACACAATGAAGTGGAGTATACGGTTTAATAAATCTCTGGAATGAGGGTGTGGTGAGGCCGTCAAAGAGAGCCACACACAAAAGAAAAATAGGTACCTTTGTTCTAACAGTGACCAAATCCAGGGACAACTATTTCCTGAGATTTATTTCCTAATATTAACACATTTTTACCTGTGCTGTCGCTGAGTTAAAAGTAAGAGAAATACCTCATTAAATCAATTACAAAATTGTCCAGCATTCATAATTTTATTTAAACTAAAGTAGAAAGCATTAGCAGCAAAATTAAGTTAACATTAAAGTGTATATTAGACAGCAGAAATGCCTGTGTGTGTTACATGATGTTATTGGATTATTATTGATGCAACAACATGTAAAATAAATCACAACCATTTAATATACTATTAAGTACATTTATAACAATGCATAATAATTTATACATAATATAGGCTACTGACCTTCAAAGTAAGAAGCAAGTATAGATGTTAAATAATTGTAGTGGAATAAAAAGTACAAGATTTCCCAATGAATGTAATGGAGTAGAAATATAAAATGGTAGAAAGATAGTAGAGATGCACTAGAATTAAATAAAAAATCTAATTTAAGAAGGAAAGAAAGGAAATTAATGCTGAACACATGAATTGTTGCACATATTTTTTATTGCAAATTTTGCTTTACATAAGTTGAAAATACAAGATTTATTTGTTTTGCAGTATACACACACACACACAGAGACATCAGACAAACATAAACTCAAAACTGTATTGATTATCCAAAGGCCACCAACATAACCTCAACTCAAGGTCAGTATGTTGTCAAAATATCACATTTGACATCTCACCTGTGTAGAACTGTGTAGAAGGCAAGAAGTGAGAATACAACACTTTATATCCCCTCGACAATGAGGTTTAAAGGAAGTACACATTCAGTTTAATGTAAGCACCTGAGAGTGGACAGAAAAGCACTTGCTTTGGAAGAAGAGGAAAGATACATAATCAAGTCCTGCATAGCATCGAAGTATAAAAGAGGCAGACCACAGCTTCAGTAGTGATTACCATTATGTTCTCCATCAGCCTGCCTGGTTTACACAAAGTGACATGTATAAAAATATAAAGGACTAAAGGCAGAAAAGCTGACATGATTATTTAAATTCTCCGTACCTCCAGCTTAAGGCACAAACAGGTGTTCAGTATTAGAAGCCAGCAGTGTATGTTCATGAGACAAGTCAGAGAAGTCTTGGTAAATGATAAGCTGCTTATTGTTTTGTATAACTTTTACTAAATGACTTGGGACAATGTGATAACTTTGAAGTAAAATTCATTAAAAACTACAGTTCAATCCCCCCAAAACATGGACAACTATAACAGAAGAAAATATGAGGCTTCTTTTCCAAAGGATTTGTAAATAAAGTAAATTATGTGTTTTTGATTTTGATTGTTGGCTTAAAAATAAAAGCCATAGCCATAGCGAATTTTAAATTCTTATTTTGTCATTACAAATAAATGCAGCCCTTATCTTGCTCGGGATATAGAACAATAGTGACAGGTAGGGTTTGGACTTTAAAACTGAAGAGAAAATAAAATGTTTCTTTCAACATCTAATGCATAAATGAATGGGGGAGACAATTATACAGTATCAAACATTACATTTTTGCATTATGGACAGTTTTGTGGCTCAATAAATCTGTCACCACCTCACTCATTTACTTAAAGTTTAATAAGTAGCACTTTGATTCTTGCTATAGTTATCACACGTTTGTGAGGGTACTTAGGATCATGCATATAAAATATCTGGCCATACTATTGCTTTTAAACATAAAAGATTTTCTTGTAAAGAAAAATGACTCCTCAAAGGGAGAGAAATAAGTTTAAATTGAGTTTAAATCTGCAGCTACTTTGTCCCAGAGTCAAACAGCAATAAGTAAAAGGCATATTGAGTAAGCCAGAACAGGCACACAGATGATTGCACGCAGTGAGCTGTCAGATGACCTGAAGAGTGCCATGTCAAGATGTAGACTGCAGAGCTCTAGACTGCAGAATGTAAATGACTTTGAGTGGATCACTGGAGGAAAGAGGAACATCCTACAGTCACACTGTGTAATCAAGATCAGCATTCAGCTTATTGTATATGTCATAAATAGCATCAACAGTGGTGGTGAAGTTGATGAGGAATTTTCTGATTTTTTCCAAGCACTCTTCTTCCTTGACGTCCCGACCCTTGGAGAGGGCCTTCAGGAAATCTGACTTATACGGAGCAGCGTAAAGAGCTGCCTAGAAGAGCAAATACAAATGCCAAATTTATACACAACTCTATGTATTATATATATGCATATGTGTCTTAAAAGAATCTGAACTCACCCTGAAGAGCTGTTGCACAAACCAGCCATGATACCTTTTCAGCGCTATTTCATAGGCTTTGGTGACATTGACTCGAATGAGGTTCGGGTTGCTATCGTCCTTTTCGCCATCCACAAGGCTCTGAAGGAAGACTTGAATAAATCTTAGACCCCTGGTTGATAGAGAAGACGTGCAGATTAAAGTTAATGAACACACACAACCCAACAATTCATAAAACCTGAAATGCAAACATTTCTGAAACCTTTTTAGCCACATAAGAGCCAACGTTGCTCCGACTTTGGGCCATTGTGCGCCATGCATTTCCTTCTCCGCCTCCACAATCTGCTGGAGTGTCTTGAAGCGTACCGGGTTGGTATCATAAACTGCCTTGATTTTCTATTTGGCAAAAACAGTGCATGGTATTGTAACATAGCGTAACTGAGAAACGTAAGAGTCGAGTGTCAGATTTAACATTATACTTACTGTGATGTTACCGGATATGTCAGCTTTTATTGGTGCGAAAATAGTGGAGCCAAGGCAATCTGAGGAGGAATATTTACACAGAGAATGACTGAGAAAACCCACACACAGGACATGAAAACAAAAACTTCATGAGAATATGAGCGTCTTTAGAGCTTTTTGTGGTGACCAACAACCTCTTCAGTTAACACAGAAGCTAAAAAGGTAAATGTGAAAACCTGACCTCATAACAGGTCACATGGGTTTTTGTGGCTACTTCACAACTTCTCAACTTATTGTTTTGATGTGAGAGACCCCCTAGCGACATAAATTACATATTTTATACGTTTAAGTGGAACGCCGGCCCACAATAACACCACATTGCTGGAAGGTAAAGTAAATCTGGGATTAGGCCTTCAATATCACAGACACATCATCACAGTATTATCATTAGGTGTCCTTTAATTAGGCTACTAGAGGACCAGAGAATGTGGTGATGAGATAGTGAACAATGAGACATCTCGAGTACCGACCACACGCGGCTCCTAATTGACCCACTGACACAACAGACAGCTTTCAGCTCCTGAGCTGTTAGAGGAAACTACTCATGATGAAAAAGTCTGGTCTATTGTGCCGAAGTGATGCATCGCCTCAACACTGATGGCAACATATCTTGTTTCGGAGACATCCTCATCTTGTGTGGCTGTCTTTGTATTTTCCACTCTATTCGCAAGATTTCTGTTATAAATGCACACTGCCTCTGGAAACAATGGGCAATTAAACAGCTCTCTGGAGAGTAACAGTAAAATATATTTAACAAAAAACAATAAAATAACCTAAAATATATAAACGACAAACAGGAATAATCCCCAAACAGCATAATTTGTTCAGTTCTCGGCTCATTAAACACACACAGGTGTTAATTATTCTGGCTAATTAGACCTCTTCTCAGGTTGAAATTGGACAGAGCCATGCTGGGAGTTTGCTGAGGTCACTGTACTTAAAATTCAACTCATTAAAAATATGAGTTGTCCTACTAAAACAGGTTAAAAAACTAACAGGAGAGTCAGTGCCGTCCACGCAGGCCTGGAGAAGAGGGTCTAATTAGACAAAATAATTTAAAACACCTGTGTGAATGTACTATGAGACTGTGCAGGACTTTAATAGCTTGTAGGAAAGTTGGCCAAGAAATTTCTAGGTCAGGAAAAACAATGGTGACAAGGAGGAAAGAGCTTAATATCGACATCAGACTTGGTTCCTCTCAAGGGTTTCACATGGCAAATTCAATAGAGGACCTTTGGCATATTAATACAGAATGAAGTCGCACAAAGATGCCCTGGTGCACCATGGTGCCGGTGAATGGGCAAAGGGAACTCAACACCGTACTAATCAATTTTCACAACTTAAAATCCAGGCCAGTGGATTAAATTATGCATGCTAAAGGATTGTGGACAGCTTGATGGAGAGAAATACGATCCAAAAAAGATTATCATTTAGAAAGGGTACGAACGTTTCATTAGGTTTGATAGAAGAGTTGTGACAGATTTCCCCACAACAACAACAAGTTTTGTGTTTATTAATCAAAGTTGAACATGAAAAATGTATGACCAGGGTGCCAACTGCAGGGGAGCCAGGGGAGCCAGGGGAGCTTGGCTCCTCTTAATAACACATGAGCTCCCCTGAAAACATGATTTGTGAAATTTTGGGGTCTCTTAAATATTGATAATATATTTCTGCAATGCACATTTTTCTGTATCTTTATCATCATGGATTGAGTGCAAACGGCTAATATTGATGCACATACGTCATTAACTGATTATTATATGTCAGATTTGCTAACATAAAGCTAGTAGGACTACATGATTGCAACTATGAATGCTTCTTTTCAACTAGTGCCCCCCAACACAAGCCTTTTTTCCACCGCACACTGTGTATAACGGTGGAAAAGGGTCCATTGCAAATCCAACATCTGTGTGCACGTTCATCCAATCTAACAGTCAGGCTTGAATTATATTCAGCACTATGAGTCTACATACTTCAAACTAATTAATATTTGTTTGTCAGTGTCTTCAATCTGGCCTTTAGTGTAGCTTCTGACAAGTCAAACATTAGAAGTTGAACAGAAATACATTTGTCCCCCCACCCTTTTTTCCCTGCAGCCACTGACATCTGTGCATTCACATGTATCTCCACACAGCTTCATATCCAGCAATGTTGTCAGAGGTGCCTGCATTGGTCTCTACTGTGTCACACTGTGGAAACTTCACTTACCAAAGAAAGGTGGAAGGTATGACACAGCCTCCAGAAACGGTCTTGTTTCCACCTGTCTGTCAGCTGGCATCTGTCTGAACTGGTGCTCCATTAACAGAGCCATCTCTTTAGTCCGGACACTCTCTTACCTCTGAAATGAGAGCAATAGGCTGTCAACCCTCTGCTGCAGATTTACAGTGACACCAGAAAAAAGCTGTGTGTGTGTGTGTGTGTGTGTGTCATACCCCACCCAGAGAAAACACACACACACACACACATACACAAGTCACCTACATTGAAGCCAGGTAGTGGTAGAATATCCAGCCGACTGCTCGTGTGATCGACTTGTTACTGATAGATCCGGGTCATCGCCACCTGTCGGGTAAAAGGGCCGATAAACGGCGCTTAGAGAGTCCAGGACAAACACAAGAACAGCAGCTGATGTGCTCCGATCAGCTGACACTGTCCTGCTGCTTCAGTCACATTATGCTGCTTTACTGCCAACTAATGGAGTTTTGTGGTACATAACTCAAAATGTACAACAGAGTAGGTCTGTTAATCAGATTATATGTTTGTTTAAGTGTATTTATCAGATATTAATTATTTAATAGCCTACATTTTTATCCCTGAGCCCAATGCAGGCGGCGATTCAAAGGTCTGAAAGCAGATTATATATTATCAATCAATCAATCAAACTTTATTTGTATGCCAGCTTTTATACAGTTTTTCTTTTACAGATGACTGACGATGAGACAGAATGAGTGTGGAACATGATACAGAGAAATAAAAACTAAATTAGACAGATAAACCAGATTAGATAAGTTTAAAAATACAATACAAAGATACAAATGACGTATAACAATAATACTATTATGTTTAGTTTGTTAGTGATGTAATATCGTGTACTTCTTTAAAACAACAACAACAACAAATACAAAAAAACCCCAATACTATTATTATTATTTTGTTCATTGTTTAAAATTTACCAGAGATCAATGCTAATCAGCTAATAAATATTGGTGATATTGAACGTTTTGTTCTGAATTCAAAGAGCTGAGAGAGATCATCTATGTAAACAAACCAATTATATATCAGTATCATCCGGTTACGAAATCATATATATCCTACCTCACTACTTTTATTTTTTAATGAACAAATATTGTTATAATAATCATATAAAAATAGGACTTGTAATGTCCCAAAAAAAAAAAAAAAAAAAAAAAAAACTTTTTGACTCGCTGCGTTGTTTGAGGGAAAAAACAGTTCGCGTTTTTTTTTGTCCTTTCCTCTCACTCCCGTATAGATGGGAGTAACTAGGAAGTGTGTCCTGGTAACTAGGGAGGACTGGGCATATTAATACGATTTTCAGTGTAGAAATGCATAAACATCGACAAGTTTCAGCAGAAACAGGAGAGAAGACTGTACCTCACCACGGAAAGGGTTCGCACGTCTTATTTAAAGAGATATTAATCATAATAAAGGTTATTAACGGACCTACGCAAGTTAACTCGTCGCCGAGCAGTGAGATGTTTTACTGCAATTAAACGCTTTGTACATTGTTTTGATGTCTCCTGCTTTAATATAGACTTTACTTACCAGCAACACTTGTAACATATTAGTCATGCTTAAAGGTAACTTATGGTGAATAGTGCATTTATGCCTTAACCACATATAAATAATGTTTTAGTTGGGTCAGGTAACAATTATGCAACAGCATCATTAGATAGG